TAGGGTCGCTGAAAAATACCATAGATGGCAAGCATTGTGCCATTATCCTGGGCCTACCTGAAGATGTTGGGTGATGCTCGGAGTATAGGGGTTGTAGAGCGCGCAGTGCGTATGTGCTTTATCCTCACTGAGCCACACCATATGCCTCATCTGAAATAATTGTAGAAATCGAAGTAATAAAGTGCGCAAAACGTTACCTTCTATAAACTGTAACAATACATTTGGCAACGGGTGGCATCCTTCGTAGCGCCGTATATCTGCTCCCCAGATTCTTTTTCCAACTAAACCTAAGGACTTGCATCTATGTCGACAGACGGATCGATTCCACTCTAATTGCTAAACTCTGCTTTAGAGACCTAGTAGCGGTAGAGCTATGCCTCAAAAACAGCTGTGACAGAGCCTGACCGATGGTAGTTTGCTCGGCCTATCTGCCCTATGACTCAACAAACGATCTCCCAACACGGGAGTTCATCGATTTGGTGGAGTACTGTAACTAACTGGGCCTTCCGTTGATTGTCGGATGCGATGGCAACGCACACCACATGGTGTAGGGCAGTACCAACACGAACCGGAGGCAGGAGGAAGCAGTACCGACTTTTGTCACTTCGCGTAGACTAAAGGTGATAGACGACATTGGACTCACTATCCATGGCCCCGATGATAAGCAAGTGGACAGTGCCTGACGAACCGTGTCCCTATTGGATCACAGACACATCCTATTCAGCTTTCCGGACACTGGTGAACCCCCTATGCACGCTCCACAAGCTGGCGCAACGTCAGCTGACTGGAAGATAGCTGCAGGAGTGGTAACAGATTGCAAGACGCTATAACTACGAATCGGCTAAGGATTAGCTATCCTCGTTTCTTCTAAAAACGCTGGAGAAACTGGTGGACATACATCAGGAAAGGGGCATTGAAAGCAATGCCCATGCACCCTAACATTCTTGTGTTAAGTCTCATAAAGAGATGGCTCTGGGTGTATTTCTAGACATCGAAGAGGCATTTAATAACACCTTATTCGACTCTATAGAAAATGCTGCAGAAAGCTTCGGCATACAGAACACCATTGTCAAATGGATCTGTGTCATGCTTGAAAGCAGAATCATTACAAGCTCGATTGGTAGTGTGAAGATCAGCTCAACTGTAGCTAGGGACTGTCCGCAGGGGGTGTACTGGATGGGCTGCTCCGCACTCTAAACGAGGGAGTAGGTACCCAGCACTATCAAAGGGATCATGCAAAGAGCTCCTAACATGGTAGAAAGATGGTATAAAAATCACGGGCTTTCTGTAAATCCGGACAATACCAAGATAGTACCATTTACAAAGCCAAGAAACGTGGACCTGAAAGAGCTCACGCTCTTTGGAATGAGACTTGTTCCTGTATAGTCAAATATCTAGGAGTCATCATTGACTCTCCATACTGGGCATAAGGCCTCTCCATCTCTTTGTGGAAGCACATACCCGGGAGTCTTTTGTCAGACTGAACGATTGGAGGCAATGGGTTCACAGAGGGTAGGGATGCCACCTTTGAAAGTAATTTGAACCGGAGAAAAAAAAAAAAAAAAACTAAAATCCTACAAATCTGATAACAGATGCATTAGGTACACTCTATCTATCTATCTATACACAAAGTCTCCCCGGCATCACCGGATGATGCTTCAGGTTAAGAGTTGCGACGGTTGGAGAGGGAGATCAAATACATACTACACAGGATAGGACAACTATAGGATAGCCTATCCGCATATGGCCTCTGTAGATGAAATCTCAAGCTCCCACCACGCCAAAGTACCAGTGATAACGTAGACAGTGTGTCGTTCCTCGCCTTGACGTAGGGTGTTTGCACCACAGGCTATGATTTCGCTGACTTTGGCTTTATGCATACTTGGTTCTAATACAAGTGACATTCTAAAACAATCCTTTTTAGATCTCGTTTGCATCTTCTTCTTTGCCTATTATGTTATTAAAAATTAAATAATATATTTCATCATCATCATAAATGTATATTTTAAACTACGACCGCTGGCGCAAACAGTTAACGACACCGTTGATGACGTCGTTAACGGTGCAACACCATATGACGTTGATTCCAAAAATCGAGGTCGATGAGCAATCTTGTAGTAGTGTGTAATATTAAACTTTGGTAATATCCTTGAGGGAGAGCAGGAACAGTATTGCGCTGTTGCTAAATCTTATTTTTTTTCCTGGAATTCTTTTTACGTTTTTTTTTTTTTTTGTTAAATGCGGTTTTACCGGGAAAAACACCTCGTAACCCGGAGCCTGGAGACCATATGTGAAAACCCGTAGACTCCGGATGAAACCCGTAGGCATTTTTCCGTTTCCTATTTGGTTACTGCTACATGGAGCGCTAATCCTTTAGGACTTGTAAAATTATATCTGGCATCGCGTTTCCTATTAGGCCAGCGCACATTGTCTACCGCTACAATGGAGCGCTAATTATACAGAGTGGCAAAAAAGTCACGCATAATACCTGTAACTTTTTAATTACCTCGTATACGAAAAAGTGACCTTAATGAAAGTTGCTCAGTAAATTATTTCCCACAACTCTACTTAAACGTATTGCCTGTGTCACTTCTGGTTTGTTTGCTATCTAGACCAACTCTGTTTTTACAAATAGAATACCCTGTATGTGATTGCATATTTGGAGTCCACGTGAAATTCTGAGCAGATTTCATGTGATATACCCTATACCTAAGTTCAACTGTTTTGAAAATATTGACAATTGAAAATTGACTTTTTGCAACTTTTGACAGGCTATAAAACCTAAACGGTTAATTTTAGAGGAAAACCGATTTCACATTCCTATCTTAGATTTCCATAAACTATCATTCGACACCAACTTTGAATTTAATGTATGATTAAAAATTCCAATTAAATTTAATCTCCGATTAAATTCAAAGTTCGTGTCAAATGATAGTTTATAAAAATTTAAGATAGGAATGTGAAATCGGTTTTCCTCTAAAATTAACCATTTAGGTTTTACACGCTATCAAAGTTGCAAAAAAGTTAATTTTCAACTGTCAATATTTCCAAAACAGTTGAACTTAGGTATAGGGTATATCACATGAAATCTGCTCAGAATCTTACGTAGAATCCAAATATGCAATCACATACAGGTTGTTTCATTTGAAAAAACAAAGTTGGTCTGGATAGCAAACAAACCAGAAGTGACAGAAACAATTTGTCCAGGTAGAAATGTGAGAAATAATTTACTAAGCAACTTTCATTAAGGTCACTTTTTCGTATACGGGGTAATTAAAAAGTTACAGGTATTATGCGCGACTTTTTTGCCACTCTGTTATAGGACTTGTTAAATTGTATCTGACGTCGCATTTCCTATTAGACCAGCGCACACCCTCTACTATCGTCTGCAGACATCTATTGCAATGATTACAGGTGGTGCAATAATTTTGTAATATTTCTCGTTGGGTCTCGTTTTATTATTTCTGTTGATCTACACCAATGCCAAAGTGCTTGCCTGCAACTATATGGAAAAGTTTTTCATAAGTTTTTATTACTGCTGGAAAGAATTTTACTGCTACAAAAAAGTTACACTCTGCAAGTTGTTAATTATTATTAAAAATCAACCCAATGTCGAAAATCATGTAATAGATGGCTGGCAATATGAGTGTAGTTATTTAATTTACGTGCGCTGATCTAATAGGGAACGCGACGTCGGATATAATTTGACAAGTCCTAGTCCTATAGGAGTAGCGCACAATGTAGCGGTAGTCAATGTGCGCTGGCCTAATAGGAAACGCAATGCCAGATATAATTTTACAAGTCCTAAAGGATTAGCGCTCCATGTAGCGGTAACCAAATAGGAAACGGAAAAATGCAACCCGGAGAGGTGGCAACCCTAACAGAGGGCCGAGTACGGGACATCCAAGGATCCTGACTGACACCATAAAGCAGGACCTTCCTTCTCACCAGAAGAGATGCAATGCCAAAAACCTCAGCCCCCCCCTAGACAATGCATAGGTCGTCATCCCTGCAAGGGAAAACTGGCTAGAGCCTGACCCTTCTCTGACAGAGGAGAGTGCAGGGGCTGGTGTATATGGAGAGAAACCTGTGGCGAGAATTAATCTTGCACTGGGTCGATGGCTAACAGTATACCAGACTGAAATCTACGTCGTGCAGGCATGTGCTCAGGAGAATCTCCAGAGAGATTATACTCGGCCTAGCATATTAATATATGTATACAGTGACAGCCAGGTAGCACTCCGAGCCCTTGGCTCAGACAAGGTCAACTCGTAGTTCATGTTTGACTATATTGGGTCTCGGGTTACAGAGGGAGGCATAAAAGGCAACGAGGAGGCAGACCAGCTGGCTCATAAAGGTAGCAAGACTGCACAAAATCGGACTCAGCAATGAGACAGAATGTAGCTTCTGCAGCGAAGCATATAGTCTGCGAATGTGACGCCCTCGTCAGCTGGAGACTACGATATGGGTACAGCTTCCTGGAACTTGATAATATAAAGCAAGTCCGGTCTGAGTGGGTTTGCACCTTTCTTAATAGTTGCGGGCTCTTAAGGTAAGACAGGGCTGCAACAAGAGAGGGATAACACAATAAACCACATGTGCGTCTACGTGCTGCCTGTAAAGGCTCCCCTTTCAAATCAATCAATCAATCAATCTTAGATGACTTTCGAAGCATCTGAAATCACTTATAAAAATTTTGAACTTTAATAAGCGCAAAGAAAGTTCAAAAGTGTCTCAATCAACTTTCAAAAAATCTCTCTTTTAAACAGTTGGAGATTCATATATTTGTGATGTTGCCAGATCGCGTACCTATTCATCAACTTATCAGGGCTTTAAATAACAAATTTGGCCCTTAAAACTGTCCCGATCACTCATAAAAATTCTTAACTTTGCAATTCGAGAACTCAAATAAGTTCAAAGTAAGTTGAAAAGATGTAGGACCATTTTTATTTAATTATTTCAATAAAACTTTGCGCTTCAATTATACAAAAACAACAATATATTATAAACAATTTATTTAAAATATCTAACTATAAATAATTACAAATATGTAATAGATATTTAAATGGCACAAATAAAACCCAAATAAACTAAGAGAGTTTGCCCATACAAAACATATTACAAATTTACACAAAACCCAATTCTGGTTTGCTAAATTTGTCCCAAAAACTATCAATATAACACTGCTTATATGTTGAAGTAATTTAACACTAATTTTTTGAGGTAACTAAGGTCTTTAACTGACACTTTTTATTGTTGAATTTACTTAAAATAATAATAAGTATCTGTCCTAAGTTTTAATGAGGTTTATCAAAAGCAACTCTGTTGCAGTTTATATAAATATATTCTCTATTTTTGCAAACTTGTGCATTATTAATATACAATTCTTTGGTATCAAAGACAATTATTCTCACTGAAAAAAATTTAGAATGTAGAAAGTGAACCGCCCTAAAACACACAGAAAAAAAAATCAAAAACTTTGTATGATAATAAGGGTCACAGCCAAAAGAAATGAGAATATCAAGTTTAGGAACTCAAATAACTAAATAAAAAATATTTATTCCTAATTTATTTTTCTTTTGGTTCCATCAACCATTGTCACTTTCTGCGAATTATTGTTGTGGTACCAAGCGTATCCGACCACAAAAAGTACCGAAATTATCAGCTGAATAACCAACCAAATTACAATATTGATTGCATGAGTTTGCCTGAACAATTCCTGCCCATGTTTGATGCAAATCAAAGATTCAGTTACCATGATGCAACCGTAAACCCAGCACTGGGTTCCTACACGTTTACATGTAGTATCTGTAACATAACTGAAAATTGAAAATATTATTAAGAAATTCTTTAAATAGAAAATAATTTACCTGTAAAATTGCCTTACAGAAGGCGCCACGAAAGCGCCAACAAGTATTAGCCTGGCACTAACTAAATAATGCGAAGTAGGCATGTCGAAAACATGTTTCAAGAAGAAAGTATTCAATTCAGATATTTGCCAAAAAAGTACCAGTTCGGCAAAGGCAAATATTCTCATGTAGGAGCACTTTGGGTCCAGCCATCGCACTGACGTCCAACTTTCAGGGGTGAATTGGAGAAAGGCGCGTTTGATTTTACCTGTTGTCGAATGAATATCCTTGATACTCTCCCATTTATATTCTCGCATTTCCAAAACGCTGCAAATTTTTAATCCGCACCAGATGCCCAGCCCGTTACAAATCAAAACGTCCAATATTAGGGCGTCCCACCAACATTCGATAAAATTGGGCAACAAGTGGGCAAAAGCTAGTTCGGTAATTTCCCACATTATGCTGGTGCCCCACAAAATTCCCATGTGTCTTATTAGAATGGCTTTGAACATCCAACCAACGAAATGGCCCAACGCAAATACGTCTACATGGCTCCAAATTTTTTCTGCAGTTATTTGCGAACAGTTTACACCATATTCTTTGTCCATGTCATTTTTGAAGTTCTATATTATAACACAATCGAGTCAAAGTTTTGTTTTTTTTTTAATAAATTTGAGTTTTTTGTTACCTTAAGTGTTGGATCTATCCAATACAAAATGTTGTGCACAGTTTCTGTGTTTTGGAAAAGCAGAAAAAGACATCCTAGAAGGTATAAAACGCTCATGCCGAAGACTATTCTCCATACGGCCGGATGTGGACGAGTGAATGGTCCATTTGGAAAAGCCAAAATGGATATTATCAGGAAACAAAAACAGCAACATAGTAGGCCTGACCAAATGTTTTTTTCTACGTCTTCTGTGTCTCTGGAAATAGAATTTTCATTATTTATTGATTTTTCTCCTTCTCATTGTTTGGGTTTAGCCTTAGCATTTGAGATGTCCGAAACAGGAAAACGAATCCTGAACATTTTACTATAGGAAGTATTTACAAAACTCAAATCAAATTAGTGAAAATTGTTTATCATGAAGCTACACGATCTAATATTTGGTGTCTGGAAATAAGTTTGATGTCTGGAAATAAGTTCCACAAAACTACTTTAATTATTGTATAATATTATATTTTTTTATGAATGTTAAATACCATTTTTAATTCTTAATCATATCAAATTCTTATTATGAACTTTGACATTTTTGTTCAAAGATAATCCATAATCCATTAACTATTAAAATGTTGGGTCTAATTTCATTTTTATCTCGAGTTTGCTTAATACCTAATCTTTTGTACTTCCTGTCTTTACTGGTAGCTTATCAAGTTCAATGTTTGTTATTTGTAGAAATCTTTACCCAGTGTTATCAGAGTTTTAGATTTTATTTTGGGAAAAAGATTTTTCAATTCTCATTTGTTATTTATATTATTTTCAGATTCAGAGTTGACTAGAGGAAATAATAAAACCACCATCCCAGAATTGGTGCAAACAATTCCTCAAAGGGGAATTTTTTTCGCATAATTCGTTTATTCCTTAAAATTCCTGCAAATTCCTCCAGATACCCCATCACAAATTCCTCCAAATACCCCACAAATTCTCCTAAAAAAAGGGAAAATTTTGAAACTTTCTGCATGTAAAGAGGAAGGTAAGAAGATCATTTTCCCAAAATTTAAAAGTTTTCCAGTGGAAAACAGCAACATGAAAAATCTTGGAAATCAACCTACACAAACTGAATTAGTTGAAAATACAGTCTCACACATTTCAAAGTTTTCCTGGAAAACTACTGAAGGGAACATTTTAAAACTTTTTGCATCTAAAGAGGAAGGTGAGAAGCTCATTTTCCCAAAATTTCAAAATTTTCCAGTGGAAAACAGCAACATGAAAAATCTTGGAAATCAATCTACAATAACTGAATTAATTGAAAAAACAGTCTCACACTCGGTCTCACACATTTCAAAGTTTTCCTGGAAAACTAGTGAAGGAAACATTTGGAAACTTTTTGCATGTGAAGAAGAAGGTAAAAAGCTCATTTTCCTAAAATTTCAAAATTTTCCAGTGGAAAACAGCAGCATGAAAAATCTTGGAAATCAACCTACAAAAACTGAATTAGTTGAAAATACAGTCTCACACATTTCAAAGTTTTCTTGGAAAACTAGTACTTAAAGGAAAAATTTTGAAACTTTTTGCATGTAAAGAGGAAGGTGAGAAGCTCATTTTCCCAAAGAAATTTTCTAGTGGAAAATAACAACATGAGGATATTGGAAATCAACCTACAATAACTGAATTAATTGAAAATACAGTCTCACACATTTCAAAGTTTTCCTGAAAAACTAGTGAAGGGAAAATTTTGAAATTTTTTGCATGTTAAGAGGAAGGTGAGAAGCTCATTTCCCCAAAATTTTCCAGTGGAAAACAGCAACATGAAAAATCTTGGAAATCAACCTACACAAACTGAATTAGTTGAAAATACAGTCTCACACATTTCAAAGTTTTCCTAATAAACTAGTCGAGAAACTAGTAAAGGGAAAATTTTGAAACTTTTTGCATGTAGAGAGGAAGGTGAGACGCTCATTTTCCCAAAATTTCAAATTTTTTCAGTAGAAAACAGCAACATGAAAAATCTTGGAGGTCAACCTACAAAAACTGAATTAGTTGAAAATATAGTCTCACACATTTCAAAGTTTTCCTGGAAAACTAGTGAAGGAAAAATTTTGAAACTTTTTGCATGTAAAGAGGAAGCTGAGAAACTCATTTTCCCAGAATTTCAGATTTTTCCAGTGGAAAATAACAACATGAGGAATATTGGAAATCAACATACAATAACTGAATTAATTGAAAATACAGTATCATATATTTTAGAGTTTGGAAAACTAGTGAAGGGAAAATTTTGAAACTTTTCACATGTAAAGAGGAAGGTGAGAAGTTCATTTTCCCAAAATAGCAAATTTTTCCAGTGGAAAACAGCAACATGAAAAATCTTGGAATGTAAAGAGAAAGGTGAGAAGCTCATTTTCCCAAAATTTCAAATTTTTTCAGTAGAAAATTACATGAGGAATCTTGGAAATCAACCTACAATAACTGAATTACCTAATTGAAAATACAGTCTCACACATTTCAAAGTTTTCCTAGAAAACTAGTGAAGGCAAAATTTTTAAACTTTTTGCATGTAAAAAGGAAGGTGAGAAGATTGTTTTATCAAAATTTCAAATTTTTCCAGTGAAAAACAGTAACATGAAGTCTTGGAAATCAACCTACACAAACTGTATTCATTATTCTTTTGAATTTTTTAAATTTTGTCAAATTTCTCATAAATTCCTCACAAATTCTCCCAAATTCCCCATAAATTCCTCCAAATTCCCTAAAAATTCCTCAAATTCTCATAAATTCGGATGAGTTCCTACAAATTCCCCAAAAATTTCTCTAAATTCCCCACATTTTTGGCAAAGAATTCCTAGGTGGTTTGCCCTTGGAATAAAATTTAGAGGATTTGTAGAAGATTTAATTGGCTTTAATTAAAGCCTAATTATGTTAAAATCAGATTGAAATTGATAAGGTTGTGAGGCACAATGTTGTTTTAAAAAGCCCTTTTAGGTAAACCAACTTTCCAGGAAAACAAATTGAAAATGAAAGCAGTAAACATGGGGGAAGAATCATTCAATCTCTCTATGGTATTTGAAAAATCACAACTTCATTATCATTGTCTTTTTTCTTATGAAATTTTGGTATCTTAAAGCCAAAAGCAAGGCCAAAAGCTTCTGGAATTTATTAAAAAATTGGTTGTCCTCTCAGGTATAGGTACTAACTTCCCAGAAAAAAAATCCAAAATGAAAGTAGAGGACATGGTGGAAGAATTATTCAGTCTCTATTTGTTCTAATTGAAATTCTAAAAAGCTCAGAAGCTCGCTCAGAACTCAGAAGCGTTTTAGAGTGTTCTAATGATATGTTTATGGAAGTTTTAAGTGTTCTAAAATCTAAAGTGTCAGGTGACGATTTTTGAGATATACTCAGAGATATATTGAAAGTTTCCAGTTTGAGATTTAAGCCTATGATGTATCATTTCCTGTTATTTTAACAGCAACGTTAAGTTATCTGTCCCTGTTTATTCTACACGTAAAAATAGAGACAAGTATAGATTTTGAGCTAAAACACAACTGTTAAAATAACAGGAGAGGGTACATCATAGGCCTGATTGTTTCCAAAAGTTCCATATGATTTGTAAAGTGTTCCAAAAGCTTTCTAAAATGTTCCCGAAAATTCTAAAGTGTTCTGGGTCTGTTCTAGAATGTCTCTCAAATTCTTAATTGGTTCTAAAGTGTTTTGTAACGTTTTACAATGTTCCTAACGATTTCAATTTGTCTCAAACAAATGCAGGAGGGTTGAAAATTGGAATTGAAAGTCTTTTGAAGTCTCTTGAAGCTTGCATAAAGATTTTAATTGTTTCCTTGTTGGTTTCTTAATGATTTTGGAGCGCTGGGATGTTCTTGAAGTTATCAGAAATTTTCCAAATGTTCCTAAGTGCTCTTTGATACCTCATCTGTTCAAAACTGATATAGGTATAGGCATCCTATCATATTTATAAGTATATAAAAATAGGTATATCTCAATCGAGATCTCAATATACACAAATATCCACCAAAAACATCAAAAATTCAATTCTTTCTGGTAGTAATAAGGGTAAGTAATTGGGTAAGTAACAAGTAAGTAAAGGCGGGTTTAAACATTAGGATTCTGGATTAGATAAGACTCTCATGAAGTATTCTCTAAGGAGTTTTTTTCCAATAATAAACTGACCTGACAAAAGCGAAATAAACCACAGCAGCAATGGATATCAGCAGTAAAGTAATCGTGTGCGGCTTATAAAAGAATTCTATCGAAATATCATCCACTTCCTTCTCGTTGATGGCACTAAACGAATTAAATCTTGTCCTTTTAGGGTCCTCTTTGTTTTTCTCCATTGGTAATACACTTAACTAATTAATTCACTACCTAAATATATAATTTTAAAGAATAAATACACTCATAACATTTGATATTGATACTGCTATTTAAAAGTCCCAATTATTTTTGTGTTTAACTTTTTGAAAGGGCAAATAAAAATAACATTTTTTTTTTAACGGTTGGTAGTACTATGACACCTGTTTGCGATTATATCCGTCTCTTTTTAGTATACAAATTACGTAAAGTTAAAGTGAGAACGAGGAATTAGCAAACATAGAAACGAATTGTCATTTGTATTAAATCAGTGTTGCCAACAGTGTATTTATTTTCCATGACCCGGCATCTTTTCAAAAAAAAGTTAGGTTATGTTAAAAGTTTGTTTTGATTTGATTTTAAATGTTTCTAAATTGAAATTCATTGATTGAAATAATTATTAATTGGGTAATGTTTTTACTCTTAGAACAAATTTAAATAATATGGAAACAATACTACAATCTGACGAATTTGCAGAGGATAAGGAAAATGTCCCTGTCACAAAATGTGGAATTTGTGGGGCTCTCCACTATTATCGAGAGTGTGGATATGTTGTCATTAATAATAAGGTAAGTGGACCATAAAATTACTAAATTGAAAGTTGTGGAGGGAGTTTATCTGTTCTTCCAAAACAATCCAGAGCCACTGGAACTGGGACTTTGAATTTTATTAAGGGCTTATTTCTGTTGTTTATTTCTGGCTAACTGAAAAAAATATGCTGGGTAACTTCTAGGATTTATTAACTATAGGTACTATGAGGATAATTAGTCTTGGGTACTCGTGGGTAGGACACGTTGTACACTCTACTTTCACACTATACCTGACTATTATTTTTGGTTGCGAACCAACCTTCCACTCATGTAGTTAGTGGCAAACGGTATATTGTCTGTCATTTTTAATCTGACACTTTCCGTATGTAAAAACAGGTGTGACGTCAGGTGACCATTGGCTTTCTAATGTAGGGTGCCACCAGCCCACATTCCTTTCGAGTATCAGATTAAAATCGACGAACTTTACATAACATTTCCTTCCCACTTAAGATTAATAAGTATAAATTCAAACGTTGAGGTGCTTCATGATTATTCATGATGTGTAGTCTCGTGTCTAGTACTGCGTCTCAAATTTACCTCATCAGTACTATTCTTGGAGAGAACGTCCACAATTACTGGTTCGTTTTAGGCTCGGTTTTAGGTAATGGAACTGGACTTGTACAATATAAATATATTACTACCATCTTGGCTTAACGTTTCTGGCATTTGAGTATCTTGAATAATAATCATACTTCAATTTTAACTCGAATTTTAATGGAATAGTATCAGAAACATTTGGTACATACTGTGTATCCAAATTTTTATCCAGCACCTCACCAAAGCTATCATTTTTTTTAAACTGTTCATATGCTTATATAAAAGTCTCTCACCGACTCTAACCAAATAAGTTACAGAACTATTACATTTCTCGATAACTCATTCAACCCATTTTTCTTTACTATAAGGCTCAAATTTCATGCAATTTTGATTGGTGCAAACCGCTTTTTGATATCTTCAACCGTTTAGCCGCTAGAGGGCGATTCTCGATTTTGAGCAATATTGTGAACCCTTCATAACTTTTTTGTTTATGAAAATAATTGATTTCCGTAAAAACTTTCTGGAAGCACTTTTTAAAACAGAATTCAGGGACGTTCTCAGTTTTTTTCTATTTGGCGCCGATTTTGAGATATTGACTAAAGTCTGATTTTTTTCAATGGGACACCCTTTATATTAATAGCTCATTGAAGAGCTATGATTTTTCTGATTTTAATGATATAAAGTTCGATAGGTTTATCTCTAACCGTTTTCGAGAAAAAAAATTATTTTGGTTTTTGTCATAAGAAACAATGTATTAGAAAGAGACCTTTTTCATTTTCCCTACAGATATAAAGTCCTTTTCTAACACATTGCTTCTTATGAGAAAAACCGAAATATATTTTTTTTCTCGGAAACGGTTAGAGATACCCCTATCGAACTTGATATCATTAAAATCAGAAAAATCATAGCTTTGCAATGAGCTATTAACATAAAGGGTGTCCCATTGAAAAAAATCAGACTTTGGTCAATATCTCAAAATCGGCGCCAAAAAGAAAAAAACCGAGAACGTCCCTGAATTCTGTTTTAAAAAGTGCTTCCAGAAAGTTTTCACGGAAATCAATTATTTTCATAAACAAAAAAGTTATGAAGGGTTCACAATATTGCTCAAAATCGAGAATCGCCCTCTAGCGGCTAAACGGTTGAAGATATCAAAAAGCGGTTTGCACCAATCAAAATTTCATGAAATTTGAGCCTCAGAGCGGGGGGTTCATTTTTTTCTATCTCTAAAAATAAAGGGTGTTTCCATAAGGAAGTGTCCTCGGAAGTGTCCAAATTGGCCAATTGGCCCACCCTGTACTTCATAAAATGTATGTCTATCTAGCTAGACTTACTATCAACTAATAACAAAAATGTTTTTCCATTCTTAGGAAAAAAAATCTATGTGGATTCTTTGAAAAATATTTTCTGTTTTTGGCCAGGATATTAATGCTCTCTCATGATTATTCTGAACTAATAATTGAAACTAATCTATATGTGCTACAAGTGGAAACCATTGCTTCAATATCCTGCTGTAACCCAGGCCACCAGAAAACCGATCTAACTAAAATTTTTGTTCAAATTTTGTTTCTTGGATTATATTCAAAACGTCTTTACATATTAATAAACGAATCACAACCCTTATCCCTATCATCAGACACTTATCTTCAATTTCATTTCTTTTTGAAGAATAAGGTTTTGAGTCTCCATTCTCAACTTTCTGAGACCAACCTGTTCTAACAAAATTCATAATTATTATAAAAATAGAATCTTTACTGGTATAACTATACCAATATCCTCATGAGTTAGTGGCAATTTATTTGATAAATTAAATGAATTTAAAGAGCTATCTATTTCTGTAGAATCAGGCAAAGGCAATCGTGAAAGCATATCTGCTTCAAACATTTTTGAACCCTTTCCATACCCAATGTTATACTGATAAGCTGATAAAATTATACTCCACTCCATCTTACAATACGCGATGCCGACATTACCAAAATACTACGATCCTGTTTCAATATCATTTTCAATGGCTCATGATCAGAAACTAATATAAATGATCGCCCAAAGACATATATGTATGAAATTTTTTTTACACTGAAGATAATTGCAAGAGCTTCTCGTTCCAATTGCGAATAATTTTGTTTTGCTTTGGACAACGTTCCCGATGCGAAACAAACAGGCTTTTCCTGGCTAGTAGAATCTCTATAACTCAATAAACCCCCAACATCATAACTACTACTATCACATGATCAAGCCCATGATATCAGATGAACATTTTCCCTCAAAAGGCCTATTTTGCTGAAAATCTCTTACCCTAGGCTCCGATTTAGAGTTATTACTGTACTGTCCCTGATTAAATTTATACGGTTTTTAATAAAAACTATTTACTGTGCCAGCTGACGTATCTATTAGAGATTTAACTTGCTTTTGTGCGATCTCCGAGGCTTGAGCCATTTAGCAAGCACTACGGAATGTTAACCCGATATCTGACAATACATTTTTTTTCAATACTTTCTGCGCGTATTCCACACACAAATCTGTCCCTAAAAATTGTCCAAAGTTAAAAGAACTTGCTAATTTTCGCAGTTCTATAATATAATCAGCTATTGATGGATCACTCTTTTGATTACATTTATTAAAAACAAACCATCCATAAATTTCTGACACTGGAGGTGAATAATGTATTAACAGTTTATCCTTACTCTGAGCATAAGTAAAGTCTGTAGGCTTTCCTAGAGCTATTAAATTCTTTAGAGTTTGAAAAACACTTGTATCTGCCAGTGTTATAAAAAGTGAAACTTTAAGTCCCTCTTCTATCGCATTAACGGTAAACAGATGTTCCATCATTTCCATATAAGATTCGAATTCTTCGCCTTGATTACCTTTGAAGGGTTCAATGTGTCCAATTAATGTAATTTTCTTTCGTTAACTTTTAGTTGAGTAAAACAAAAAGAAAACTACTCTGGAAGAGATGGTTACTATACTTGCTTCACTGTTTGTACAGGGTGTTTGTTTATAACTGGAAGACTCAGTAACTTTTTTGTTATTGAAAATAAAGTGCATGTTAAGATTGGAAAATTTCTTGGTAAATTGCAACGATCTTAATCGCCGCCAGGGCCGTATCTAGCCAAAATTTTGGGGGGGTTAGACAAAGTGGCAGAAAAAAATTGTTACACTAGTAATAAAAATAAAAAAAATAAATAAGTATTTATTTAAGTGTTGTTTGTTTTTAAGTTAAATTTTTTGAATTTTATTATTTTTCGGGGGGGGTTTGAACCCCCAAAACCCCCCCTAGATACGGCCCTGATCGCCGCAACGATATTTTTTTGTCGCCATAGGTATTCAGGGTGTGCCAAAAAAGTTTTTTTTTTTATGGATCCTCGAATGGAACGCCTTGCATATTTCTGCATTTTTAAATTTCTTAGTAAATTAGCTCCACAAAAATATCAAACACTATTTGAATAACAAAAATATACAAGGCGTTCCATTTGAAAAAAATACCTTCTTGGTGCACCCTGTATAAAGTCCAACAAATACCATTTTAAAGTCACGTGATATTGGTGGCAAAAAACATATGTTCATTGATTATGTCGTTGATATCACCTACAAAAAGCTACTGGTGGTTAATTACTATTGAATTTCAGGATATGTTCCCACTAGCATTTTACAAACGCGTTTCTGAAGTAGTATTTAGGGATGTTGATATCGGAAAAAAATATCGATATATATCATACCTATCGATATTTAAAATTAATATCGTATCGAGCTTTTGATATATCATTGAAAAATATCGATATTTCGATATATCGACAAAAAAATTAAATGCTCAATTAAGGGTCGGTTTCTCAATAGTGTGTCACCTTCGGGTTGGTTTTAACTCCAGGGTAAGAGTATCCAGTTGCTATGTTTACCCTAAAGTTATGCTTAACCAGGGGGTGACTTGCTATTGGGAAACCGGCACTAAGTGAAAGTATTACTTTATTTCTGAACCTGTACCAGTTATACCGTAAAAGGGTTTTTTTCTACAAGCAAGTTATGAATAAACAAAATATTAATTATTACGGAAACGAATATTTTTTGTTTTCATTTGTTCTGAATGTCTAATGTCATTGCTTGTCTACAACTGTCACTAGGCCACTATAAGTACCTATAGAAAGGTGTTTTTTGTTTTAATATTTCTATGATACCGCTCTACTTGCTCTGGATCGCTCGAGATGAAACCTCTTAATCGAAATTATTGCCTTGAAAAGTTCATAGACTTTAGAGCGTAAAGCAGTGAATTTTTTTTGGATCGTGGTAAATATATCGAGTACCGATAGTCAACTTTTAATATCGATATATGGGAATTTTAATACTTGCAATTGTTGCGAGACTCACTTTTGTCGCATCTGCAATCCGTTGTAATACATTCTGAACTTGAATTGGGTACCTGTTTTCTATTTGCTTCTCTACCTATGATGACA